TAGGCCAACCCGCCGAGCAGCGCTGCGCAGCCGGCGGCCTGCCGGCTGGAGCTGGAGGGCGATTGGAGAGCTCCGCCATTGCTAGTCGGCGCGCCTTCTAGATAAGGTTGAGAAAGGGTGAGAAGGGGTGAGGGACCCCCCTCCGACTAGCAATTGGGGAGCTCTCCGATTCCCTCCTGTGCTTGGTGCGCATGGACACTCTAGTGAGGGCGCCTGAAACACGGTGGGTAGGCCAACCCGGCGGGCAGCGCTGCGCAGCGGCGGCCCGCCCAACGCTTGGAGCGCCAAGTGCACCAGGACACACTCCTCTCTGTCAGCATACGCCGGGAGGGCGCCGCTCACTCACCTCGAACAGCTTGCTGGCGTAGAAAGTAGTCGCGTTGACGCCGGTGACCTGCTGCATGGTCATGAGGGTTACGGTGATGATGAGAGCCTTCCTAGCTGGCCTGGTAGAAAATGCTTTCCAGCCGCTCAAGGCCGTTGCCTTGCTCTCCTGTCAAATAGAGAGTCGTGATCGTGAATCGGTCACCACAGAGAGATACGCCGCTGGGCCGTTTTGGAGGGGTTTAGCGCCCACCTCGATGCCCACGGTGATGAGCTTGATCTCGTCGTCCACGTCGTAGTGGGGGCCGCGGTAGAAGACCAGGGAGCGGCGGGCGGCCTTCTCTCGCCCGTGCAGCAGGTGCCACCGGGGCGTGTCTGGGAACCACACGAAACACGCGGTGTGCACCACGGAGAAGAGCAAGCAGATCACGTTCATCCAGTACACGGTCAGCTAGGGGGTTTAAACAGGCAGCGTGAGATTGGGGTCGCCTAGTACGGCGGCCTCGCGATAACGGGCGTCTCAATAGGGGCGATCGGAGGAGGCTTTGACCTGCCTGACAAAAAATCCTCCTTTCCCCGTGAACTCACAAACTTGCCCATCGTGTACACGATGAGGATGCCCAGGCACAGCAAGATCTCAAAGTAGGTGGACAGCGCGCCCCTGATGCCGGGCGACGACATCTCGCTGATGTAGATGGGGGTGGCGACGCAGCACGCGCCGCACGCGAAGCCCATGAGCAGCCGGCCCGCGCACAGCATCCACACCTGCGCAATGAAAGGGCGTCAAGGCCGTCCGGGCCAGGGCCACCCGGGCCCGTCTCGCACGGTGTGACGGTGTGGTCGCCGCGCTCGTACCGACGTCGCCCAGAGATGCAGCGCCCAGGCCGCCATGGTGATGGGCCCCACGGACAGGATGACCCACTTCCTGCCCAGCGAGAAGACGAGCTTGCCGACGGAGAGGGAGCCGATCAGCCCGCCGATGCCGTACAGGGACGAGACCCAGGACCACTGTTCGAGGTCCACGGCGAACCCTTGCAGCTCTTGCTGCTCCGGGTCACTGTAGACCGCCTTGGCCGCCGACGACCAGCCCAGCACCAGGCCCATGATAGTGCCGACGTTCGATGCTGTATGGGGCACACGGTTGTATGAGGCCTCGATTGAGCATGCCTCTCTACTTTTAAGTAGGTCCGTTGGTCAGTTAACAGTTAATAATTTTTATCATTAAGGTTGAAGTGTTCATTAAATAAAAAGGTTGCCACAAACATTTTCAGGGTTTGATTGACAAATAGCTATAACTCACTAGAAATGTTGCATTCATACTCTTTGAACACCTCGAACGCCTGCACACGAACAACACCCCCCCCCCCTCTTTTCTCCCTACCCCTTTTCTCACCTCCATCACCACTACCATGACCACACCACCAAGACTTCACTTTTCGCACTGGCTTGTTTCTAAATTACGAACCACGCCAGTGCCATATTATGTGCCAAGCCAGTACAGTAATGCAGTAGTCGATTTCACAAGCTGCTTGCTGTGTTATGCGGTGAAAGGGTCGTTTGAAAAAGAAAAAAAATGTTGTTCAACTTTTTCCTTTTTCACTTTTTCAGCCATTTGGACTGACCAGCCGACCCATCTACTCTGTGCTTTGAATGTTACCTGACATGGCGCCCAGATGCTGCAGCAGGATCCTGCTGGAGTCCTTGCCCCTCATCAGCCTGGTGCCCGAGCCCAGGCCGGCGGTCCCCTCCACCTCCATTACTTCCATACCCGACCGATCGGCTCAGTCAGCTCCGCCCGACGGTCGCGGCTATGATCTAAGATTGCACGGCGATATGTCTCAGGTCCTTCAGGTCCTTGGTGTAACGAACTAGCTCGGTCTACTCTTAGCGCAGCGTGCGCTCAGACTGACGTGGATGTGAATGGCCGGGGGGCGGGGG